CTATCTATCTATCTATCTATCTATCTATCTATCTATCTATCTATCTATCTATCCATCTGTTTTAAAGTTCAGCCTGCTCTTGTGTGTCCTAGAGTCAGCAAAGACCCAGAATTCCAGAGGAGTGAGAAGTACAACTGGTTGGGGAACAGATCAGTCTCAGGGTGCATCTGAGCCCATCTAGGGTTTGTAACTGACTCACCTCCTGGGGCATCTTCTATACTAGGAGCTATCCTGGACTCAAAGCATATCCTCAAGGTTAACTTTGGCCTTTTCAATTCCCTCCTAGTCCTAACCAAATAGCCAGGGTGGCCCAGGATCCATTCTGGTGTCTGGCATGCACTCTGGAAGCCTTGTTCAACATGGAAGCCAAGAAAAGACTCAAAAATTGGTTGTTTCATAAAAACAAACAAAAAATACACACCACAAAACCCCACTATACAAGGAAGTGTTTGGCATTCCCTTGTGAAGAATGATTCATGTTGGACAGGTTTGGTCTGTAGGCAGTCAGCTTGGTTGTTGGTTCAAGTTGGCTAAGATCACAGGGTCAATCTTCACAGGAGCCATTCAGCTTAGCTGTAGTTCATGGACTTGGGTGCTAGGGTCTATTGGAGGACTGAGCCATGAATTGTGAAAAGATAGTCATAAATGCATACCTATTACTGAGAGAAGAACTTCAAGCTGATGTTCTACCTACCTGTGTAGAATTGGGGAGGGAGAAGAGAGAGGGAGAGGGAGAGAAAAAGAGGAGGAAGAGAAGAGGCAGAGAGAGAGAGGAGAAGAAGAGGGAGGGGGAGAGGGGAAAAGAGGAGAAGAGGGAGAGGGAGGGAGGAAGAGAGAAAGAGAATTTATAAAGTTTGTTCTGCCTCTTCATTAAAAGGAAATTAGAGATTTAGATGAATAATTGCTTTCCAGACCACCTAGTGGCAGTTTAGAACATTGTGGCTTTCCTTTCCTTATCTTTTTTTTTTTCTTTTCAAAAACTACACGCAAAGCAGTCATGCCTTCTCTGCTAACTAGAAAGTCCTCAGATGTCCTGCCTCCTGGGGCTCAAACTGGAATTCTGCTAGAGGACATCCTCCCTAGCCCACCCTCTCCTTTCCTACTCCCAATTTAACTAACCTCCTCTTTAGCCTCAGGCAGATTAAAGGTTTCTGAACTATCTAGGGATGACTTTATTTTCCTTTCCCTTGTGTAAAACCAGAAACTTCTCTCCTTTAAGTAAGGGAAGAAGCCTTTGAAAGAATTTTAGACTTTTGGACTTACAGAAAAAAGAATGTTAAAATTCCTTGAGTATTTTAAGTCAAGGATGTGATTATCAGCATGGGAATCATCCAAGCCCCTGGTTTATCTCCTTTCACCTTTTGTACCCTGGTGCCATTTCATTAGTCATTGGTATCTGAGTTAGCTCCACCTCAAATGTTTGATTATTGTTTTCTTATTTGCTAAAGTAGAGACAGCTGGGTAGCACAGTTGATAGAGCATGAGGTCTGGAGTCAGGCAGTTGTTAATTCAAATTCGGTGGCCCTAGACAAGTTACAACCCCTGCCTGCCTCAGTTTCCTCAACTTAAAAAGGGTAATGTAATAGCAACTCTTTCCCGGTGAATCTCAACTGAGATAATTATCTGTACTGTGCTTGGCACCTAGTAGGTGCTTAATAAGTGCTTATTCCTTTCCTTAAAGGTCTTTTAGGAGTGGTTTTAATGAAATAGATTAGGTGCATGAATAATTAGCAACAGTGATTTGTATGTAAATAATTCTAACACCAAAGTCCTTAAAATGTTGTCTCCTAAGTAGGTTAAATGTGCCTCTATGATGTCATTAGCACAATTTTGCCTGCCAGTTTTTTTTAAAAATGTTTTAAATCAGTCACAATATATTAGTTCATCATAATAATATTATGCATTATTATTATTAATGTTAGTTAATATGCAATCTTTAAAAATAGAAAACCTCTGAAACTTTTCATATAACCCTATCACAGAAAATTTATTTATAGTTTATTATTATGGTCACTTATTATTTAAAAACATATTAATAAAATATTATGAAAAATATAGAACAACTTATGATTTGGGAAATTTCCAAGAATTGTGATTTCTTTCTCTTGAATCCCAAAGATAAGATTTGGAATCACTAGAAGCAATAAACCAACTCCTGCTAAAAAATGTTTCACTTTCACATTCCATCAGAAAAATGGAGTAGATATTGTAGATGACCTTTAACCCTTCAACTCATTTGTTTTTTTGAGAGCAAAGACATAAATATTACCTGATATAGGTAAGCCAAATTTTTTTTCAACCTTGGTTTCAAAAACTTTGAAGGGATCACTTTGGAGGCATTCAGCTCAGAGAACAGGAATTAAGAGATGGTAAAGCAGACAGAGGACATAGGTCCTAGGAAAAGCTGGATTTATGCTCAGATGTTGCTTCTCAAGCTGGCTTCCAAAACTCTTCCCTCTCATTTACAAGAAGGTCCTCAAAGATTTCTCTATTTCCAGAGATTTATAGAATCTATGCTCTGCAAATGCCTAGGGGTCCTATACTTTATCAGCCATCACATTTGGAATACATATAATACATCAATACATATAAATTTATAGTAATTCTGTGATTAATTTTGTCAGTCTAAACTACCAACAAGAGTTTGTATTTTAAAAATTTATAAAAGGGATTGTATTATTTTTTGTTTTCAACATTTACTTCCACAAGATTTTGAGTTCCAAATTTTCACCCCATCTCGCCCCTCCCCCCACCCCAAGATGGCATGCATTCTAAATACCCCTTCCCCTAGTCTGCCTTCCCTTCTATCTCTCCCCCCCTTCTCTTATTCCCTTCCCCTTCAATTTTCCTGTAGGGCAGGATGGATTTCTGTATCCCATTTCCTGTATTTCTTATTTCCCAGTTGCATGCGAAAACATTTTTTTTTAAACATGTGTTTGTAAAACTTTGGGTTCCAAATTTTCTCCCTTCCTCCCTCCCCACCCACCCTCATTGAAAAGGCAAGCAACTCAATATAGGTTATACATGTGCAGTTATGCAAAACACTTCCATAGCAGACATGCTATGAAAAACTCTATTTCCCTTAATCCTATCCCTCTCACCCATTTATTCTATTCTTTCTTTTGACCCTGTCCCTCCTCAGAAGTATTTGCTTCTGATTACTCCCCTTCCCAATATGCCCTCCTCTCTATCATTCCCCTACTCTCTTGTCCCCTTCCCCCCCATTTTCCTGTAGGGTAAGAGATTTCCACACCCAATTGAGTGTGTATGTTATAAAAAGGATTGTTTTAGGAAAAGCAGAATTGAGAAACTACCTGCTATCAATTAGGAAAAGGGAGACATTTGGAACTCCAGCCCAAACAAATTTACTTGTTATTCATAAATAAAATCCCAGCCAGTGTGGAACCAGAGGGATCCAAATGAATTGAAGTTTTACCGTGTACATAGCTGAAGAATAGTGGTGTAATCATGTGAGTTAGCATTTATATAGTGTTTTATGGTTGGCAAACTACTTTACAATTCTTATCTCATTTAATCTTTGCAACAATCCTGGGAGGTCAGTGATATTATCCCCATTTTACAGATGAGGAAACCAAAGCTGAGAGACAGTAAAAGATTTGCCCAAGGTGACACAGCTAGTAAGGGTTTTGGTTTTTTGGGGTTTTTTTTTTTTTTTGGTGAGTCAATTGGGGTTGTGACTTGCCCAGAGTCACACAGCTAGTGAGTGTTATATGTCTGAGGCCGCATTTGAACTCAGATCCTCCTGACTCCAGGCCCAGCAGTCTCCCCACTGCACTACCTTGTACTGGAAAGAGCCCTGGATCTGGGCAGTTAGAGACCTGGGATCAGATTCTGGCTTTGCGAATTGCTGCCAGTATGACTTGGGCAGCTAGATGGCACAGTGGATAGAGCACCAGGCCTGGAGTAAGAAGACCTGAGTTCAAATCCAGCTTCAAACACTAGTTGTGTGACCCTGGGCAAGCCACTTAACCCTGTTTGCCTCAGTTTCCCCATCTGTCAAATGAGCTGGAGGAGGAAATGGCAAACTGATTCAGTAATTTTGCCAAGAAATCTTCAAATGGGGTCACAAAGCCATACACAACAGAACAACAACCTGTATGACTTTGGGCATATCATCTGAGCCTCAGTTTCTTTCATCTGCAAATGAAGAGAAAGTTCTAATGATCTTAAGGCCTTTATTAACTCTAAAGGTTTTACTCCTAAACCTCTCTGAGACAGAATTTTACACAGCTACTTGTAACTTGGTGAGGTTGGCCAGGAATTACTGCAGCTCTCATTAATCTTGTCCCTTTTTCATTTTCAGAAAAGGTGGCTATTAAGATCCTGGACAAGACCAAGTTAGACCAGAAAACCCAAAGGCTGCTGTCCCGTGAGATCTCCAGCATGGAAAAACTGCACCACCCCAACATCATCCGCCTTTATGAAGTTGTAGAGACCCTGTCTAAGCTCCACCTGGTGATGGAATATGCTGGAGGCGGAGAGCTCTTTGTGAAGATCAGCACAGAGGGGAAGCTCTCAGAAATAGAAAGCAAGCTCGTTTTCTCCCAGATTGTGTCAGCAGTGAAGCACATGGTAAGCTCAACGTCATAGAGTATCCACGGTACCAGTCTGGCTAGAGTTGCTTGACCAATGGGTAGTCACTACTCACATAGTCTGTAGTTCCCAGCTCTAGCTGGAATGGGCAATGAAGTACTACCAGGGAGGTTACATAACAACGCAAGGTCACACGGACTATATCAGAGGCTGGAATTGAACTCAAGTCCTCTGACTTAGAGACTCATCTTCTTGAATTCAAATCTGGCCTTGGACACTTAGTAGCTGTGTGATCCTGGGCAAGTCATTTAACCCTGTTTGCCTCAGTTTCCTCATCTGAAAAACCATCTGGAGGAAATAGCAAACCACTCCAGTATCCTTGCCAACATAACCCCATATGGGGTCAGAGTGGGCAGACTGAAACTGAACAATAACCTCTAAATCCAAAACCAGTGATCTTTCCATTGGACTATGCTGCTGATGTGATATGCTGAGAACATGCTATTTTTTATAATCTTCAAATCCTAGTCTTCTTTCATCCCTCCTTATCCCTTTGTTGTCGTTCAGTAGTTTTTTTCAGTCACGTCTGATTCTTCATCAACCTAAGATCAGCCAGCATAGGGGTAGTTTGGGAGTGAACACTGGCTGTCTTTCCTCCACAGACAGAGAGATGAGGTTATGGTCAAGGGTTAGTAACGTCTTTAGCCCAGACCGCCATCAGTGGGCTAAGCAGTTACTGGTAGGCCTTTGTATTGGGAATGGAAATTTGGCATGGAGTAGATAAAAAGGAAAACATAAGGAAGGGGTGTGTGTGTGTTGGGGGGGCAGGATTGTAAAATTTGTCACTTAGTGGTGCTGGTTGCCTAACCTTGCTAGGGAATAATAGGTCAGCCCCACCATGGGCACCATGATTGTACTATCTGGTAGCAGTATGTCATCGAGGCAGAAACCCTTCCATGTAACCATGTATGGTTACATAAAGCACCATCCCCTCACTGGCACACCTGAAGAGAGGGAGAGGAAAAACTGGGAGCAGAAGCAGCAGGCACGTGAATGATAGAGGCTAGGGGACAATTAGAGAAGGGCCCATGGTAGAACGCTATAAAGTTGTACTCCTTACTCTTGTCTCTACACCTGTCTCTAAAGAGGAAGGCAAAGAAAAAGAACATCGACCATTTTCCAACAGTCGCTATGGACAAAGCAGTTAATGACTATAAGGTCAGTTTTGGTGCCACAAGTAAAAGCATACAACCTTTAAGAATGGGTGGTCCTTGCAGCTTCTCTAAGGCAGAGGTGTCAAACACACTGGCCCATTCTGTTCTGCATCACTCCACAGTGGGGCCCAACCAGATTGAAATGTAATTGGGAAATATTTAACAAAATAAAGAAAAATAGAACATAATGTTAACTAATATGTAGTTTCTAAGTCAACATGCAGCCTGCAGGAATCCTTATATACATTTTAGTGGCCCGTTTCTATGTGAGTTTGATACTTTGGATCTAAGATGCAGATATGAAGTCAGGGGTCCTTTGGATTCGAGCCAGAAAGTATCTTAGAGATCATTTAGATCAGAGATTCTTCATCTTTTCTTGTGTGTGTTCAGCTTTGAAAGTCTGCAAAGCCTTCTCAGAATGATACTTTTAAATCATAAATCAAAATACAAAGGATTACAAAGGAAATCAATTATGTTTAAATACAATTATCAAAATATTTTAAAAAAAAGTTGACCAATTGCAGGTTAAAAACCAAACATCCTCAGCTTGACAGATGAAGAAATTGAGACCCAGAAAATTAAGAAATTTGTCCGAGCAATGAATAAATTAGGAAAGGTGGGACTGATTATATTCAGGTCATTTAACTCCAAAACCTGTACTGTTTGCACTACACCATATTGACTGTTCCAAGGCTAGAAACAAGGAACAAGGATGGGATGTTGTGTTAGGGGATTGCTAAGCTGTGGCCAGCTTCTTCCAGAAACTGGATTTTACAGTATTTTGGTTGAGGTCAAGAAGGCCTACAGGAATGATGAGCAGAGGAGATTGTATTCCTCCCTGGTCCTGGCTCTAACCCTGGTTCACACTCCATTTTCAATCTTCTTCTGGTAGGGTCTCATGACAAAGGTTAGATAGCTGAAAGTGCAGCCAAAGCGCTCCCTGTACTCTTGGTTATTTTTCCTTTGGAGTGGCTAAAGCAGGAAGGGCTATCAAGCTATAGATTGTTTTGCCAGCAGAAGCAGTTAATGGCTTAAAATTTTGTTTTTTAAATTCAATTCAGCTCCATTCTCTCCCTTCCACCTTCCCCTCTCCTCTGTCAAGAAACCAAGAAAAATAAAACTTTTTACAAATATGTAGAGTCAAGGAAAACAGATTCCCACATCAGCCTTGTCCAAAAAGACAAAAACAAGACAAAAGTATCTCTGTGTGCCTTCTGAGTCTATCACCCTTCTATGTAGAGGTGGGTAGCATTATTTTATCACGAGTCCTGTGGAATTGTGGTTTGTCATTGTGTTGATCAGGTAAAGTGTTTAAATAGGAGATGCATTTTCCCCCTTCAAACCAATTCTTCATCAATGTGTGTCAATATGTAGTTAACCTCTCCGTCTCTGGAAGTATTCAAGCAAAGACTTTATTACAGTCTAGTTCAAGCAGACAGGGACGTTATAATGAGGATTCCTTTTTCGTATGGCTTAGATTAGACAACTCCTGAGGTTCCATCCAATTCTTAAATACTGTCAATTCTGATTCTGTGTAACAAAAAATTAACTTTCCTTTGATAACACAATGCCTGGCTCACAGTAGGAATTTAATAAATATTTATTAGAAAAACAATAAAAATATTTACTGGTTGACTGATTATCCTAAAAAACACATTATGCTGTAATATTTAAATGAATTGCCATAATCATATAAATCTTTATCCAGATGTCTAAATAGAATTATTGAATATTTAGCACAGATTTTTACCTTTTTTTTTAGGTAAAAGTATTTTTACCAGTTTTTTAAATTGATTTTGTCCTTTCTTGCTTCACAGCATGAAAATCAAATTATTCATAGAGATCTGAAGGCAGAAAATGTATTTTATACAAGCAATACCTGTGTGAAGGTGGGTGATTTTGGATTCAGCACAGTAAGCAAAAAAGGTGAAACCTTGAACACTTTCTGTGGGTCTCCTCCATATGCTGCCCCAGAGCTCTTCAGGGATGAAAATTATGTGGGCACTTACGTGGACATCTGGGCCTTGGGGGTCCTCTTATATTTCATGGTGACTGGTACCATGCCATTTCGAGCAGAGACAGTGGCCAAACTGAAGAAGTATATTCTCGATGGGACATACAGTATACCCCCTCATGTCTCTAACCCCTGTCAGAGGCTGATTCGTGGGGTTCTACAGCCAATACCCACAGAAAGGTATGGCATTGACTACATCATGAACAATGAATGGATGCAAGGAGTGTTACACCCCACTCCCTTGGAACCCTTCCAACTAGATCCCAAGTATTTGTCAGAAAAAAGCACACTTAAGGAAGAAGAGAATGAGGTCAAAAACACCTTAGAAAATCTGGGTATAACTGAAGAGCATATTAGAAATAACCAAGGAAGAGATTCCCGCAGTTCCATCACTGGAGTCTACCGTATCATTTTGCACAGAGTCCAAAGAAGACGGGCTTTAGAGAGTGTCCCAATAGTGACCCTGCCAGACCCCAAGGAAGGAGACTCAAAGAAAGTGTCCCGAGTCTACCGGGGCATACGACACACATCCAAATTTTGTTCAATTTTATAAATTGCATTAGACTGTCAATGAATTTAAACATTGTTTTTGGATTTGTTTTTAAATTTTTCCACAAGCAACTTGGGTTATGAAAATTTTCTAATTTTAAATAAACTCAAATGGTAATTTTGTAATCTATTTTTCTTTCAAACTGACAAGGCAATAAACCGCACTCAAATTTTCTGGCTTGCTTGGTTTGGGGGTGTCTTAAGAATGTGATATATGTTATTTATTACTCAGTCTACTTAAGTAGTAGAAAGGACTAACCAGAATCACACTCCTAACTTCTCTTGAGAATTAATGCCCCCAAGAAAAAGTTTCTATTGTGTTAACCAACCCAATGTGATATTGTTCATGGAAGACAATTTGCCAAGCCCTGGTTGATACTTCAAGCAACAGCGGTTATCAGTTTCCATCACTAACGCTGTTAGTTTTCATACTTGAGATATTATAATTGGCTATGACATGTTCCAATTTAGCCTTCCCTAGTTCTGCCTGGTCTTGTGTATGGCCTTGTATTCTATGCTTACTGTGTTGTGTGGTTTGATGTGAAAGTGAATTACCCAATTCATTTTTTCTCAACATTGGCTTCACTATCTGAAATGGCCTATTTAGAAAGTTTCAGCTGTATAAATAAAGATTTCTTGGCCAGGGTAAAAGCTATAATTTAAATGACACTGTGTATCTCTAACTTTAAATAGTTCCTTTGCTTAAATTCCAGGCAGTTCTGAGTAGGTGGCTATCTGCTCTCCAAACTAATTTTCTTCTCAATACTCAAACCTAAACCCAAGGGCTGGAATTCTCCCACACTTGAACTCAGATGCAGGGTTCAGGTGAAATGTGCCAATTCATAGTTCCTACTTTGAGACTGTCACTGTTAGAGGTGGTTTTTACATGTTTAAAAAACTTTTTCAAATCAAATTTTAAAATTTCATTCCCTAACTCCAACATTTGCCTAAATAGGGAAGACATCTATCTCCCTTTCTAACCAAACATGCCTTAAGTTTGCCCTAAGAAGCTGAACTACAGGAGGGATCTGGGTCAGAAATGGTGAAAATGACCTGTTCCCTGGGGATGGGGGGTTGGGGGGAGAGAAAGGGAACCCAAGAGAATTCACTGTTCCATCATCAAATTTGGGGAATTTTCATGGTCTAAAAATCTCACCAGAATACCAGCTACCTCAAAAACAGAGCCCAAATGTCCAACCAAACTAAATCCTAACATAAATATTGAGTCAAATTAGTATCTCCCTTCCTACTCCCATTTTGACTCTTAGAGATTTAGTCCCTTAGGAACAATAGAACACAGTTTTGTGTCACTTCAACTTTGGCCTTGTCAAGAATGGGGCCTGAAGATTAAAAACTGCTGGGTGTGGAAAGTTCAATCATGGTGTGATTACCAGAGGCATTCAAGTTTAATACCACCCTAAAATATATATATTTTTTCTAATGGATTTACTTTTCAGCTTAGAAAAATAAGGAGGAAGCAAAAGGCCCAAAAGAATAAAGGATTTTTAGAGGGAATCACTTGTTCTAGCTACACTTGCATTTTAAGAAAGCAAAAGCCACCAAACTCATATATGCACCTATTTTTAAAAAGAGATTATTAGAATATTATAAAAAAAGATCAGGGGCAGTTAGGTGGCACAGTGGATAGAGCACTGGCTCTGAAGACAGGATGACCTGAGTTCAAATCCAGCCTCAGACCAAACACTTGACACTTACTAGCTGTGTGACCCTGGGCAAGTCACTAACCCCAATTGCCTAAAAATTAAAAAAAAAAAAAATCAGCTAAATTAAGGTGACGGATGGGTTAACTCAGTAGCCAGAAAATCCCCTTCCCCTGACTCACACTTTCATTGAACTCAACCTTCCTTCCCTTCTCCAGTTCCCTTCCTCCTCTGCTTTCCCTTTTTATTGCAGTCTAGAACCCTGCCTTAGCTGGTACTCCTCTTCATCCTATATTTCTTCTCAGTCTCACTTCGCAACACCCCTTAAAATGCTCTGTGGCAATGGTTCCTCTTTCTCCCCTGCCACTCTTTCCCCCTCCTCCTTCCTCCCCCAAGTTCAGATTTATCCCCTTCTCTGCAACTTGTCCTCTAGGATTCCTACTGTCTATACCACCTTGTCCCGATTTTTTTTTTGGTGAGGCAATCAGGGTTAAGTGACTTTCCCAGGGTCACACAGCTAGTGTCAAGTATCTGAGGTTGGATTTGAACTCGGATCCTCTTGACTCCAAAGCCAGAGCGCTATCACTGTACCTCCTCGTTGCCCTGTCTTGTCCCAAATTCTTGTCACTTACAGAATTAGACCTTACATTCTCCTGCTCTATGCATCATTCTCTCTAGTCACCAAGGAAAGAGGGGAATTGTGAAAGGCAATTTAACTGTGCTCTCCAGTCTCCCCCAGAGTTTGCCATATTGATCACTCCCTGTCCTCTTCAAAGGCTTCCTCTAGACTGGCTCCTTCCTTACATGGCAGGGTCTGTCCTTTCCTTAAAAACAAAATTCCTTGACTTTGCCAATCCTTCAAGCTATGTTATTATTTCCTCCTTTTCACTGCCAAACTCCTATACGTGGCCTCCATTTTATCCCTGTCACTCCTTGATATCTGGCTTCACCTTTCTACACTACTAATTACTCTCTCCAAAGGCTACCTCTAGTCCCTTAATCACTCAATGTGATGACGGTTTTTGACACTTAACAACCACCTCCATATACTGCTATTCTCTTCTTGGCACAGTGCCATATTGGGCACTGTTGGTGCTTCGTAAATGACTAATGATTAGCCCTCTTTTGGTTCTCCTCATCTGTACAATTTCCCCTTATTTTCTCTGTTGAATCACCATTTTCCACCCCCTTAATGCTTAAGTGGACACCTGAATGTGCCATCATCTCAAACTCCTCTCTAACCACATGGCCACCACCCTAGTTCACTCTATCCTATACTGTCTTCCTAACTGGTTTCCCTATTTCTATTCTCTTCATATATCCTCCCAAAACATTCTTCCTAATACATGGAACCAACCACTGAATAACCTCTCCCTATAAACTTCAGCTGCTTTGACTTATCTTTAAAATAAACACAATGTCCTTTGCCTAGCATTTAGGTCCTCCACACTCTAGTTTCAATCTACCTTTTTAATTCCAATTCATAGTACTCCATTTTATGTATTCCTACATTTTAATCAAATTAGATTTATGGCTGTTCCCCAAACTTCAACTTACATCTAATACCCTCCTGTCCTTTTCCACTAGCTGTTGTGAGTTTTGAATACAGACCCTCCTCCTTTTTGCCTTTCAGGGTCTCTTACTTTCCTTCAAAGCTTTCAATGATTCCATCCTTCCCTTCTTTGTACTTTTTCCCTTCTCAAACTATTTTGTGTAGTTATACATATCTTTTCCCAGCTTGTACTTTGCAGCAGACTATATTAGCTCCTTGGGGTTTGGGATGTTTCCTTTTTTGCTTTCCAGGGACCTTAAACAAATCCCTAGTACTCCATGTAGTTTGTTGTGGAGTCGTTTTTCAGTCCTGTCCTGACCTCAAATTCCTTGGCAAAGATACTGGAGTGGTTTGCCATTTCCTTCTCCAATTCATTTTATAGATGAGGAAACTGAGGCAAACATGATTAAGTGACTTGCCCAGGGTCATACAGCTACTAAGTGTCTGAGACTAGATTTGAACTCGGGAAGATGTCTTCTGATTCCAAGCCCAGTGCTCTATCCACTGTGCCACCTAGCTGTCCCACCATGTGCAACTGAACTACATTTCAATCCATTATTGATAAGAACTGAGCAAAACCAACAAATTCTTCACGCTACTTTCCTTTCAAAAAATTGGCAACATTTTGTTAATTATGTTCTCATATCTTCTTGCACAATGATGGTACTGGAAGAAAGATGTAGAATGTATCTTTACATTTGTTTTCTTTTAGTAAAATAAAATTACCTAAGTACTGTGAGCTGGGCTGTACTTCCTATGAACACCAGAATAGGACCAAAGAATCCCACTAAAAAAGCTTATGTGATTGTGGTACTTTTAGTATAAAAAAAACAAACTAAATTCAACATCTAGAAGCACTCCACAGTAGGGAAGTTAAACAAAATCTCATTCCCCAAAATGAGGACCAAAGCAGGATGCAGGGGTTAATCTGGTTGATGATAATAGGCATAAAATTTCAAACACTAATATCTTGTGGATTAAAATGATTTCTTTCCATGGCCCCTCTTTGAAAAACTATTTGCTATCTGAACTTCTCACTAAGTGAGCTCTATTACCCAATGGTCCCTTGTTTTATATTACACGTCACAAGAGGTAAACCAGAGATAAAAGGTTTCAAATAAAAGTTTCAAAATGGGCTTTTTAAAAAATCTATTTCTGAGGTCAGTCTAGTTGTGCTTTAAATAGAGATCAAATTTATTCTGAGGACTAAGCTAAATTAAGTCCACATATGGTAAATGTAACAGAACTAGCCCTTACAGAATCAAATTGGATTTTAATGCTAAAAGAAACATGAGGAAACTGGAGCTCAAAGAGGTCAAGAGAGATGTTGAATTTGAGTATCTGAGTTAAAGAAATTAAAATGATTACTTCAAGACCAAAAATTAATAAGTTACCAACTCAAATCAGAAGCCATAGGATAGTTATTTTGACAAGCAGCTGCCACGTCTACCTAAATTACTTGATGCAAATTAACTAAAGTTTATTATGCCTCTGATATTTACCTACTTCACTAACTAGTTTCTTAGGTAGATTTTTAAAGAAATTTCTTGTTGCTTTAAATAAAATGAAGTCTGGGTAATAATTATGATTAACATGTGACCAGATGTGAATTATCATTTATCAAAAGAAAAAGGATGCTTCTTAGTATATAATTTCTTGGTAGAATAAAAAGACTTTCATATGTTTGAAATTTCTCTCAAAACTTTATTTCAAAGTTATTCACCTCATCCTTAATGAAGTGTATAGAGTTAATATTCTGTGCCAGTGGTATACTAGGTCTGTCCATTGCCGGCAATGAACTTTCATTCACCCAATTCTCTTGGCACCCAGAAATTAAATTACTCTTTTCAGAACATTTCTAACCCCCAAACACTTCCAAAAGCATTGCATGCACCATTTCCCCACCAATCTTTAAATCAGAACTTACATCATTAATCTACATCAGCATGTGTTAAAATGAAGTCATTTTAACTTGCTTTTGACTGTACAAATCAAAAAAAGAAAAGCTACTAGTTAATATTAGACAAGAATAATTTACAAACACATCACGCATTACCTTGTAATCTGAAACATTACATTTCATGTCGTTTGTGCAAGTTTGTAATAGGTAACTGAAACTTCACAGAATTTAACAAAATAAAGTATTAAAAATTAGTTCTGTACATTAGTTCCAACTACCTCTGTATTTTTGTAACCTAATAAGGCTCATGTTGTAGTTCAGCACCAAGCGGGCCTACATAACTGTCCAAAAAGTCTTTTTGTTCATTCTGACATATTGTTCGTTCTATGACATTTTTCCTTTGTGGGGTACATAGTTTTCTAAGTGAAAGTCTTAAAGGAAGCTTCACAAATCAGATTGCATGACAGTGATGGAGAATTCTGAATTCTCTTTTTTCAAGGACCAGGAAACAACTCGAGTCATATCAATGATTTTACTTTTGATGAAAAATCATCATGGATTTAGATTGTCAGTTTTTGAAGTTAAAATCTGTAATACTGGAGAGTAATTCTACTAATGTTATAATTGCTACCTTCTCCCCTTTTATTCAAGTTAACAATGAAGGTCATGCTTGTAAAAGGTACTTTTCCAGCAACCACACACACCTCGAGTTAAAATAAGGTACAAAGAACTGTAACACCATTAGCCTCCTTACAGATCTCAAGCACTATTCAAAACCGATGACCAAAGCTGGCACAGGGACAAGAATTGTTCCTACCAAAGATGCCACATGCCACAAAGGTCTCTCCAGAAAGAGCTCGTTCAAGATCACTATTCTTTAGTTCACAAAGACCATTATCCTGACTTCTGGTCACTCCTGGGGCTCAATTCAAATAGAGTAAATAGTATTACTTTCCTAAAACTTCGTTTTCTACCTTACTTATAAAATTTATCCGGTCTTGCCATTTTCATAGGGCTTATGTAAACCACATTTTAAAAAAATCCCTCAAGTTTTATTTCAAAAACTGAAGGCGCTTTTAGCAGTCTTGCTTAATGCTATTTAAAAATATTTATCTATTAAAAAATCGAAGGCTGTCTAGTGACATCTACATTTTCTTCTGCCAGATCTGCACAACATTTGTATGACCACATCAAAAGCTGAACTTCATGCTTACAAACAGCTGAAGAAGTATGAAGGTTTACAGAGCCCTTAACATCATTCCAAATACATCCATGCTATTTTAGTGTTATGTAATCACAACAGGAAGCATGTCAGCAAAATGAACTAAACAAAGACTTTCAGAAGTACACGATAGTTTCCAGGCTCCAAGTAAGACACATCAAAATTTAGGCAACATGTAATCCCTTTAAGTTTTTCCCAGATGTCCTGTTCTTCCCCTCCCCACACTCCCCGGCCCCCTCCCCACACTGGAGTCTTCCACCTCACAGAGGTAATTCAGTGCTCTCCATTACTAATGGTAGCTGCTTCAGGTTCTG